CCGCTGATAAAGCTGTTAGTGATTCGTGGCAGCTTCCTGCCTGCGGTGGAGAGAGAGAGAGAGAAGACGAGTGGGAGAGAACCAGAGAAAGAGAGAGAGATTAAATGAGAGCATCAGCTGTAATTAGGGCTGCTTTCCTCCATTTGGAAGTACTCGCTCGCTCTCTCTCTCCGAGAGAATTAACTCTGGACACTCTGGGCGGGTCAGAGCAATATAGACTTGAACGCCTTAATGGGCGAAAAGTGAGATTTAGCCAATGTCTTAAAATGAGTGTAATTAATCTGGAGAGATGGGTGTTGCAGATGTCCTCAGGTGCTGACTCTGTGAATGACGGTGCACGATGCTCAGCCATGTAGGTGGAGATTGGTGAGGTTGGTGTTTTTTCTGTGGCTGCTGGTGCACGTTGCATCAGAGCTGCACACGAAGACAGGATCGATGTTGTCAGACGTTATCAGCCACAAGCTGAGAACCCAATTTTTTTTCTAGACTCCACTTCAATAATCCCAGCTATCATTTGCTCACATCTCATGAATTTTGTTGTTTGCGGAAGAGGGCTGCTGTTTGGATTCTCGAGGACGTCTAGAGCTCTTGTTGCTCTCAGGTTTGAGGGCACTCGTACTCTGCCTTGGACAGAGGTGTGGCCCAGTCTCCTGGTCATCTTAGATGATTGCATCACATGATCAACATCTGGAAACAACGCAGAAAGTCGTTTACCGAACGTGTACCCTCAATCCTCGATACTGACCATCTCTTAGATGTCCTTGTGCAGATATTGTGGAGGAAGAACTTTGAAAACATTGATCATAAACCTGGTTCTCACACGATCAAATCTATAACGAATATTGGTGAATTTGTTTGGCAGCAGGACGAACGAAAGCATAAACAAATGTGATATAATGAGGCTGTAAACAATCGAAGAGATCACAACACATAAAGAGGAAAAAAATCCCAGTGAAAGAAACTCAAATAAAGAAATATTTATAGCTAATTAAAGCCTTTTTCAAGCAGCGTCTCCTATTTACTGACAGTTTGCAAAGTCCAGCGAGATAAAGATAAACACTTTACTTCCTCATTTTTCAAGCAACAGAAAATGTAACACAGAACTTGGCAGAATTTCAAGTGATCATTTGATGAAGCTTTCTCATTGCAGTGGTATCAACATGCACTGCAGTTCAAGTGGAGTCTTGAACGGCTCATTCACGACTAGTTTGCATAGATGAGGTAGAGAATCCTCTTCCTGTTCTAAAGCCTCACGTCCTCTCTGAATAAGCGTCCGTGGTTTGCAGTGCACAGGGTGACCATTCAAATGCTCCTGACATTTGGGAAATTGTCCTTTTTGTTCACCCATCTCTTCTTATTTCTCCACCTCTCCTCCAAATGCCATTTCGTCCTTTTCATTCCTCTTTGACCCGGGTGATCTCTCCGCTTCCTCTTTCCTCTCTTGTTCCGCTCAGATTGACCGCTGAGAACACCTGCTTTGAAAGGATTTCTCTTTTAGCTTTCCTGTTCATATCCCTCCGTCGTTTTCTCAAAATAGTGATGATGAAAGTTGCCGTTGAAGAGAAAGGGCAAACTCTAATGTGTTTGTTGTTTATAGTAGACGCTGTATTTAAAAGGGGTTAACTTTAGTTTTAGGTGGAGATGGCTCTGATTAATTATTTAATCAAGCTACAGTGTATTTGTAGATAAAAGTCTGTTTAACACAACTATGGTTTTAAATTGGTGCCCTCCGTAGTGTCATGTTTTCAGGTGGTCCGTCTGTCCCACTCTTGTGAACACGATATCTAAAAAAAATTAAAAAAATGATGTTGTTTGAAACTGCACTGGTCGGTGGAGGCATTCGGCTGCAGGGTGGTTACTCTAGTTTGGCTCCATATTGATGTGAGGCTGTCAGTGTTATGGGTTTTCAACACCGCACTGTTCGGAGGTGACCTGTCAATCAAACAGCTCCACCATTTACTGACATCTTTTTAGTTAGTGGTAACGTTTGACTCCCTTTTCCTATTTTTTTCTCAGATCCATTCTTCATCGCTGTTTCTATGCAAAACTACCACACTCCCCTTTTATTTGCGAATAAATTGCCGGCCCCTTTTCTGAAATTCTCCAAGACAGCAGAGGTACCAGTAGTGTGACGCTTTAATGGATTCCAAATTCAAGACCTGCCACCAGTATCACTGTTTCCATTTATCAGAAAAAGAACATGAATTCTCCACCGCAGAAAATAGGATGGTCGCACAGCTGAAATGTTTTTTTCCTCAGTCTTTAAATGTCAGTCTGGTAGTTTTAACATACAAAGATATGCACTGCGACGCCAGAGCTCAGTCTTGTCCACAGAGGACAGTAATCTGCACCCAGAGACCCAGTTCAGTCATTAGCGATTTCACAGCTGCCTTCGTTTTTTCCTGTTCAGAGCGCCATTAATCTCAAAACAACCCAACGAGCGAAGTGTTTACTCTCTTTCTCAGAAAAATTGTTTTGGCAAAAAAACTATTATCTTCCAGACAGTTTACGTTTGTAAGCAAGATAAGCTCAGAGGTGTCGGAGGTGTGCATTTCCAGACTCTAGCTGTGACAACAGATTGGCTCTGTAGTGCTGTGGTGTGTGTTTAGTTGACTCGGTTGGGATAGACGACAGATATTCTCCACAGAGGACGTCCCTGCGTCGCACAGCACGGCCGCGCTTCTTACTCCGCTCATTAGGGTTGAACCATGAAACTGCTGGAGCACAAATGTGTACCGGCCACATCACATTGATCCCCACACAGTCACACAACATAAGACGCACACAGAACACACAGAGTCAGTGAACCAAAGCTTATGTACAGAGGAGCAAGCTGTGCAGTGTCCAGACAGGCTGTTAGCTGGTAATCATTAACACAGGCTCCCTGTTTGCTTTGACTCACCCTGTCTGTATACGTCTCTTAGCTTTTATACATGTGTGTTGTCAACAGTACCACGCGTTTCATTGTGTTTCATCAGCCTCTGCACTTTATTCACACGCCACATCTCTTCATAGACGCACACATGCAGCATCTGCTCAGGGCCGCATTCGCATTACCTGCAGGGTTACAGTTTGCCGCAGACTTCCTGTTCTCCCGCAGCTCACAAATGAGTGTACGAGACGCCAGCGCGCCTCAATGTTAATCTGTCGACAAAACAAGGAAAACACTTTGAAGGTAAATTCAAGGATTTCCTGGGGAAAGGATTGATTGGATGCAAGTTGACCCAAAGAGGAAATCAGTGTGTGGCAGGTTGTGGTTGGAAAAACAGAGAGGACAAACGTCTCAGCAGGGGGGCTGCAGAGAATGGACTCACAGATTCTGATTCAAACACACTATAGACTGAAATAACAACCAGTCTTTAATGTTACAGACAACATCACGGAATGGATTATAACTTGGTCTCAGGTTTGATTCCCTCCAGCAGGTGTGAGTCATGTCAGACGTGTTCTTGTGAGTCTTTCTACTCACTTATTGTGTCTTTCTAAAATGTAGCTGCAGCCTTTTCTTTTGTCAATGCCTGAAATGATGATTTTTTACCACTGACTAAAAGTTAAAAAAAAAAAAACACTTAAAGCCAGAAGCAGGGATTTTATTTAAATAAGAATATTATTTACTAGTTACTCTAAAAAGCTTTCAGACTAAAATGAAAAGAAATGGAAAAGAAGTTGCACTTTATCAAGCCCCTCTGTTGCAGTATTGATTTTGATAATTTACTGTGATAAATAACTGAACAGCACCATAATACAGATGGACATATATAAATAACATGTATTGAATCTACTTTAGTTTCCAGTTAATATTAATTATATCTTTGTTTTTGAACCTGAGATTGACTCTAATGGACCAAAAACATCCTGGAATGAAACTGTGAATTAGTGAGTCGGCACAAATATTTATACTTTATAATTTTCATCTTCAAAAACACTCACCCAGAAAATAACCGACATAACAAGTGAAATAAATGTCCATCTGTGATCTTGGGACGATGGGTTTCTCTAGCTCTCTCTTTGTTTTCGTCTTAGCAGCCGAAGTCTCTCCGAAGGTTGGATTTCTTACCTGAGTATTTTTTTTAAACCACCAAAATGTGTTGACATATGATGGTTGGACTTGTTATGCTGTCATGTTTACCTCCATCAGCTCAGGGGCTGTTGGGCATCACTGTGTCCAGTCGAGCGCTCAAACGAGACTCAATTGGCTCTGCAGATTTTTGCTGCCGGTCGTCCTTTGCCTTTGCATCTGCTGCCCCCTCCCTGGGAGAGCCGAGTGCCACATCTGGTCGCGCTGAGAGTCGAGGGGACGCCAGGCAGCTCCTCCAGGCAGAGCATTAGCATACATTTACTCTGGGAATGCCCTTGACTAGCTGAAGAATGGGACGTGAGGAGCATCAAATGCACCGGCGGGACCTGAGGAGGGACCTGAGGAGGGACAATGTTAGTGGGAGTGAGACAGAAAGATGGAGAGACTCAAGGATTTACACCATGTTATGTTATTAGGCTTTGACAAGGTGCTTTGTCTCATTAAAAATGAAATGAATAAACAGTAGACCAAAAGTACGTTGGCTGATGATGTGTGTGGAAAGACACGTTTGATTCTGTACCTCCGGGTGACGTTTGTTGTCATGGAGCAGAAGGTGTGAGTGGACGGGGGGGAAATGTCAGAATATAGTGAGCCGAGAGATGGAGAGGATGTGTGCGTTTCATCTGACAGAAGAAGAGCAAGTGAGGGAGAGATAAGTTGGGGGAGGGGGCTGGAGGAGGTGGGCGGGAAGAGAGGAGGCGAGTTTCACGGACACAGAGAGAGACAGAGAGAGAGAGAGAGAGAGAGAGAGAGAGAGAGAGGAAAAGGGGGGGAAGGAACAGCGAGCTGCGAGTTTGCCGGAGCTGTTGAGTGTGTGATCGTGAGTGCTTCTTGAGCCGTCGTGTAAAAAGAAAAAAAGAAAAAAGGAGGACATTGCTTTTTGAAGCTTTGTTTTTTTTTGTTCTTCTTTCTTTCCTTAAAGTGTCACATCAAGCTCCAACTTGTCCAAACCAGCTTTTCCTGGGATTGTGAAGAGGACCAGGGGAAGCCAGCGTGCTACCAGGTAAGACACCTAAGAAGAGAGAGAGAGAGAGGGAGAGAGAGAAACCCTGAGAGGATGTCAGCGTGGAGCGAGTGATAACACGGTTTTAGTGGAATGGCACGACAGCTCTCGTTTATGTTGCTGCTTTGAAAATAATACACTTGACGCCTGGTTGAAATGGAGGAAACATGCTGCTTGTGATGTGTCCACATGTGTGTGTTTCTGTGTGTGTGTGGTCAGCAAACATGGCTCGAAGGACACTGTACTGTATTTTTGATGAGAGGAGTCAGCTCGTATGGAGGAAGAGGAAGAGGAGGAGGAGGAGGAGGAGGAGGAGGAGGAGGATGTGTCGTGTCTTTTGACAGCAGCTGACAGATGTCAGGCGATGTCAGAATAACCCTGACAGAGATTTCTTAAAAATATATACAGATGATCAGATTCATATTTGGAAAGAGCTTCCTGTCTCACTTTCTTGTTTTACAACTGTTTCTTTTTGCCCTGTGGCGTTTTAATACTCACACCACAGATCAGTTTTTCTCAACTATCTCTTCCCTTCGTGTTTGTTCCTTCTTTCAAATGTCAATAATCAGCATACGAGTGACACGTTTACACGTTTGCATTCACCAGTAGCTGGATGTGTCTTTGCAGCTCGATAGGATCTGTGACAGGCAGGGAGGGATAAGCACACTGCCACCGAGGGTCAGGCTCGATGTGGCAGCGGTGAAGTCGTGATTCCCCTACAGGAGCGAGCACAGAGACACGCAGCTGCATCAACTGTACTATAAGGCAGCGTCCTGCAACTCTTGAGTTCGATTTTGTTTGTCATTTAATGAGAAGTTACACGCTAATCGAATCACTGCTCTGCCTCCGCTGCTGTCTGTCATTTCCCCTTTGTCATCTCTTATCTCTTCCTCTCTCCCTCTCCGTCCTCATTATCCCAGATTCAACTGAAATGAACTAGTCAATCTCTCTTCCTTGTTCCATCCCTCGCTCCATGCGTGACATGCAGTCCACTAAACAAAGGCGAACTCGTGAGGCCAGAGGCTGAACAAAGCTTCTCTGTTCTTTTCTCTCATTTACAAACATCGAAGGGGTCTTGACAGCCGTCACACAAAAACCCATTCAATTCCATTTCTCCTTCTAAATCCTTTATTCTCCTACAAGGTCCACCAAAGCCCTTTTCACATCACCCACTGCCTTTTGTGGTTTCTTCTCGGAAACAGGATTTCTACGTCAAACGTTGGAGCTGAACAATCTGAGCTCGCTGCTCATATTCCAGCCAACGTTGAATTTACTTGTAAAACCTGGAGTCTTTTATTCAAGCTATTCCTTCCCTTTGAGGACACTGTATGAAACACTGCACCCACTGGCACCGTCATGTGTGTGTATCCAGCTGTGAGTGCTCCCGCTGCATCAATAGTTAATGAATGTCGCTGGCGCTCATTCACACGGCCCGTTCACTCCGTGTTTTTGTTTGTCTAACGGCTGCTCCGCTTTGACTGACACGTACTGTACTGCACCATCATGGAGCTTAAGCACAGCTCAGCCAGAGTCAGATCCAGGCAATATGCTAACCTTCACGCAACCTTGAAGTGTGACAGCGGGTGTTCTGCGAGTTCTGAAGGAGTGGTGACGTTTGTGAATAATGACTTGTGTCATTAATTTGATAAAACCGAGAGGGAAGGGCAGGAAAGTGTAATGGAGGAGGGGGAAATGCACTTTTATCATCAAATCTGTTTAATGCTTTTTTGTATTTTTGTAAAAGCTTTTTATTTGCTCGTTAATGTGCACTCGAGCTCTGGCCGGATCACTCCATCCATGGGCAGGCAGCTCCTTTCGGTCCACTGGATGCCGTCCACTCTCTCCGTGACTCATTGCATCGTCCACTCTGATTGGCCGGCTTTTCTACTCCAGGGAGAAAGACAGGATGACGAGGGGCTGACCTCTCACGAGCAGGGATCAGCCGTTCTTTTCACACTCGCAACGTGTTCGCCCCCAAAAAAATCAACACCCAGACCCGAAGCAGAATGTGGAAAAAAGTAAGAATTATCGATATTCCATGCAGCCGTGTTTTTCATCCACCTGAAGGATGTATCCAGGCTTCCAGAATCCCCCCCCTCTGTAGAGGCTGCTGTCACATGTGGCAGCTCTGAAGCAAACAGGGCGTGGAGCTCCCCTGCCTACCGAGACTCTTCCAGACAGACTCGGCTGAGACGAGGTCCAAGCCGCTCCGTCCGGTCGGTCGGTCGGTCGGTCGGTCAGCAGAGTCCCTGTTGTTTGTTTTCTCTGCGGAGGGAGAGAAGCCGTGGTGCTCGGGCCATGCGGCGCTGATCCAGAACCATGGACAGCGCTCCTGTGCAGAGGAGGGGGGAGATTTCAGCACCACCTCGTGTGGACGGACGGCTGACAGAAACGGAGACGAGCTTCAAGCTTTGAGGAAACATGGAGGACGTGTCCTTGTTTGTGAAGATTACTCATACGGTGATTAGATCTCATGCTGGAGGGAGTGACAGATTTCACATCCTAGGTGCAGGAGGCACAGCAGTGTTTACCCAACTTAATCTATTTGTGTTTTCAAATGAACTGTCGGTTGAGTCCATGGGGAATAGTGTTTGGTGCTTAACCAGGTAGCTTGGCTGAATAATTACAACAGTTTCAAAACTGGCAAAGCTTATAAACAGTGTGTGCTCACAATTCACTAGAGCATTAAATCTTCCTATAGCTTCATGTCCCTGGATCTGTTAATAGTAGTTTATACGGACACGAGTGATATCAATTATCTCATCCGACATGCGGCAAGGAAACAAATAAAGATTCCTCTGATGTAAACTTCACACTTTCAAGCATAGAATGTTAAAGTTCTGGACCTCATCATCTCTATCATGGAGGTTATGTTTCTTTGCTGGTCGGTTGAACTACTCAATGGATTTCCATGTACTTTGGTGGAATGATGGAACGTGAACCAGGAAAGATTCCATAACATTTTAGTGAAGTGACGAAATGTCTTCAGTTGAGTAAATTAAATATAGTTGTGACATACGAGTCACTTTGTTGATCTGTTGTATTGATCCTGATTCGTGGATTTACTGATGTGATTCAGATTTATTATATTGAAAGTTCAATTTACTTGTTGATGCAATAAAATGTTGAGCTGCGTGTTCACAGGTTTCATGTATTAATAAGTTGTTTTTTAAATCATCGGTTTGAAAACGCAGTGTGAAATCAGACGTGAACGCTGGTTGTGTCTCCTCTGATCTCTGGACTGAGAAAAGTCAGAAAAGATGAAGCCATTTGTGCACGTGCATTTATCCTCACACATGTGTCCACACTAATATGCATACATGGGCTCAGCATGACATTAATTTTGTGCCTCGCAGCATATTCTTCAAGTGCAGTGTGATCTCCAGCCCCCTCCCTGCCCACGTACTCCGACAGAAACAATAAAAGCTCAGAGTCTCGCCCTCGGGCGTCCATCTCACCACTGGACAGCAAACCACCCGTCACTCCTCTTTCCCTCCCTCTTTCTGTTTATCCATCCATTAATCTTTCCCTCTCTCCTCTGAAGCACCATACACATGTCCCCTAATTAAGACAGCTAATAACTAACCAGGGTCATTTGTATATGTTTGCATTAGCATAATTGAATAGCCATGAGTTAAGTGTTTTCCACTGGTGTGTTAATAACCCGTTCTGGAGGCGAGCACGTGTGCGGTGATGTTTGTTTGCCTCCACGCTGTCGTGAACTGGGAGGCATCCATGCGTTCAGTTTCCTTCCCTTCCTCCTGCCTTGCTCCTCTTCCTCGCCAACGCCATAAACCCAAGGTGTGGTCATTTATTTTCTCCTCTGAGGCGTCCTCCTCTGTAAGCTGTGTATGTGAAGGCCAGAAACTAATAAACTGAGAGCTGTCCCAGTGTGAAAGAGGCAGGAAGGCTGACGATCACACACATGTGGCAGGTTATGGACTTCAAGTAAATTCTCTAGTGTCAAACAGACGAAGGCTGGAGAGAGTTCACGTCTGTGGTTTTACCTTCTGATCCGACAGCAGAGGGTGGTCGGTTCCTCCTCTACACCCCATCAATACACCTCTCCTTCTCGTGGCAGTAGCGTTGACGGCAGGATGTGAGGCACATGAAGAGAGAGGTGATGTGAGTTGGAGTTCCTGTGAAGAAAGGGATGAAGGGAGGAGGGCGATGACAGGGATGGTAGGGGGATATATTTTTCTATCTCAGTACGCCGCTGCCTTCGTCCTTGTCATTGTGCCGGGTGAGTCGGCGTATATACATGCTGCGATCTGAACGGTAAAGAAATACTTTTTTATCACTGCATCTCTGACTCCACAGAAAGCTCCATATCCACCAGAGACCTGTATTTATAGAGAGCGAGGGGGTCGTTTCTTTTCTCTCTGCACAGGTTACTGAAAGGTAAAAGGAAAGTGCAGAGTAGCACACCTCAAACATATTTAATTGTTGCATAGCAACAACCCAGTGGATTTCAGTAGTTGAAGCACAAAGCTTGTTTTGTGTTTGACAGAAAGCAAAATAAGGTGGTGTGAAAAGGAATGAAATCAGAAGGAGTGAATATTTTTTACAACTTAATATTGGATAAATTAACTTGTGTTTAAATATTGTGTTAAAAATATTGGACCATATTTCTCACTGTTGATTTGAGCAGTGGAGCAGCAAGGACGTTTTCATACTGCAAGTGTGAGATCAGATTTCCTGTTTTTCTCCTTACCCGGGTCAAAGAGGGGGGGTGTCACCATCTACCAGTAACCTCAGAGTCGGTCTGCAATTAAAGGCTCTATCATGTTAAAAGGCTGTCACAGAAAGGAAAGAAGCCAGGAGGTTATCTCCAAATCAGGACTTTTTCTCCAAACTGTCCTCTGATGCACTGACATGCTCTGAAGGTGAGCGAGCTGCGGTAAATGGAGGGTAATCACCGATCGGATATGTCCACTCGGGAGTGTATTATCAGCTGCCCCATCGAGGAGGTCCACTATGGGAGGAAAGGATCCCATTAC